AGCACAGCGCTGCCGACCGTGGGCAACCTCACCACCATCCTGGCTACCACACTGCTGCCCCCCACGCCGACCCCGAGGTGAGCGGGACGGGGGGGCTCGGGGATGAGGTGTGGGGGTGCTCCTCTGCACACCCCCTGACCCTCGTGTCCCCCAGCCCCACGGGGCTGCAGCGGTTCTACAGCCTGTCCTACATGTGGTACAGCGCCCACAACTCCACCACGGTCATCGTGGTGGGGGTCCTTGTCAGCCTGCTCACTGGTGAGTGTGTGACAGCGGGGGGGCCGCCGTGATCCCCCCGGCCCCGCTCAACCCCTCTGCCCCCCCCCAGGCCCCACGCCGGCGGCGGCCCTGGACCCCCGCACCATCTCCCCCGTGGTGCCCCGGCTGCTCTGCTGCCTGTCCCCCAAAATCCGGCAGCGGCTCTGCTGCGGGGGGGAAGACCCTGCCCAGGTGAGGAACAGACCCCCGGCACCTCGGGGGAAGGGGGACACGGGGTGGGTTCCCCCTCTGCCCCTGCTGCCCCCCCACTGTGCCCCCCCTGCCCCCTGCTCTGTCCCCGCAGACCCCCGGCCACGCAGATGCCACGGAGAAGAACAACGGGGTGCCCAACGGCCTGGGCCCCCCCGGCCCTGGGCAGCGGGAGGAGGAGGAGGAGGAGGAAGGACAGGGGTACACGGCCCCCGCCTACGCCGTGCAGGAAACCTCCTTCTGACCCCCCCGGCGTGGGGATCCTGGCCACCCCCCCAGGCCGGGGGGCTCAAAGCCCCAGTGGGGCACCCACAGAAGGTCAGGGAGTGCCAAATAGTGGGGTGTGGGGTGCCTGGTGGGGGGCCAGTGGGCTGCCCCCCAGGGAGGCTCTGGGACCATGTCTGGGGGGTGTCAGAGCGGTGCCCCCCACCCAGGTCGGGGTGCTGCCCAGTGCCCCCGGCCTGGCCATGTGCCTTACACACCGCTCTGCTCTGGGGGCTGCCTGGACCCCTGGGGGTGCAGAGCACACCCCCCAAGCCCCTGTCAATCGTGTCTGTGTTCAATGTCCCCCCAATAAATGGTTCTGGAGCACAGCTGTCGGAGGGTCCCCAGAAACCACCCCCTCCCTGCTGTAACCCCGGACCTCCATCTCTCCAAACACTGGGGTATCCCCACTGCCCCCCAAGAGCCCACAAGTCCTCATTTCCCCGATCAGCGGGGGGGGGGGGTCTCACTGCACCTCAGAACCCCTCAAGCACTGGGAGTCCCCACGGGATCCCATGGGAACACCGGGTTGTCCCCACCGCCCCCCAAGAGCCCACGGACCCCCATTTCCCCTGGGGAGGGGCCGCACTGTCGCCTGGGTCCTGACGGGACTCCTGTCTCCCCAAGCAGTGGGTGTCTCCGCTGTCCCCCAGGAGCCCGTGGGGGGACAGAGCACCCCCTGCTCCCATAAGCGCTGGGGGTCCCCGCTGACCCCCAGGGCCCCCCTAAGCCCCCGATGTACGGGGGGTGTCCCCGCTGTCCCCCCGAACCGCGCGGGGCACGTGACTCCCGCGGCCCCGCCCCTTTGGTGGCCCCGCCCCTTTGGTGGCCCCCCCCCGTGTCTGGGGGCGGGGCGTAGCGTGCTGACGTACCGGCGCGGTGACGTCACGGCGCTGCGATGGCGCCCCGGCGCCCCCCGGAGCTGTACCGGGCGCCGTTCCCGCTCTACACCGTCCGCCTGCACCCGCGCCGGGCCCTCGCCATCACCGCCGGCGGCGGCGGCGCCGCCAAGACCGGCATCCGCAATGGCGTGGTACGGGGGCAGGCGAGGGCTCCGGGGGGGGGGGGGGAAAACGGGGGGGGGGGGGGGGGGGGGGGGGGGGGGGGGGGGG